CACCCTCAGGCTCAGCACCCCCAGGCGTAGCACTCACACGCTCAGCACCCCCAGAGTCAGCACCCCCAGGCTCAGCACCCTCAGCAGCACAAGAGTCACCAGTAACCTCGACAGGCTCTACTGCGTCTACCTAGGACACACCTGAAGGGGCAGGACCCTGAGGGGGGAGGGGGTCTACCGGGGGGGGACCTGGCACAAGGAAGAGGGGTGGTGGGGGGAGGGACGGAGTGCGGTAGGGGAAGAGGCGGTAGTAGGGGACCGACTCGTCAAACGTGACGTCCTGGGAGGACAGAACACGGCGAGAGGTGGGGTGGTAGAACTTCCACCCTGGCGCGTCTGGGGGGAAGCCAAGGAAGACGCAAGGAGCAGCACGAGGGGACAGCTTGTCCGAAGACAAGTCGCGGACAAACGCCCGAGATCCCCAGACACGGAACGCAGACACATCGCCAACCTTCTCCATCCACAGCAAAGCTGGGGAGGTCTCCGGCATGGAGACCCTGGGCTGAAGGTTGATCTGATGCGCCGCGTACCGAACCGCAAACGGCCACAGAAAATGGGGGGTAGCCGCATGCATCATGGACGTACGGGCGACGTCCATGACCATGCCAATGCGGTGCTCAGCAATCCCATTTTGCTGTGGAGAGTCCGGAAGCGTGAAGGTTTGGCGGATGCCTCGTGCACGACAGTAGGCTTGAGGAAGGCCAGGGGAGAACTCTCCGCCTCTGTCAGAGTGCAAACGCAGAACAGGAAAGTCCGAGCCGAAGCTCTGCCTGAGCTGAAGACAAGCTGCGCGGATCCAGTCGATCAACACCTTAGTGACATCACCCTTGTTGCGCAAGGGGAAGACCGTGGTGTAACGCGAATAGTCATCAACTACCAGTAGGAAGTAGCGCTCGTGACCCTGTCCACGGACGCGGGCCGGGCCCCACACATCCATGTGAAGCGTCTGCAGCGGGGCCTCTGTCGGAGGAAACTGGGAGTGAGGGTGTGAGAGTACGACGACTTATGCCAGCTATGCTTGCTTGCCTCTACTTTATCATGCTATTTCTAGCATAGGATAATCATATGCATGCATGAATTGCTTGATTTCCTAGGCTAGGTGCTTTCCTATATTTTATTATAGTTATAGCACCGAGCTAGGTTGCGTGCACCGAATTCTGGCTTTTCGGTTGCCACCGAATTGCCTTCTAGCGAATTCGGTAAGGATATGTTCGGGACGCTTCGCGACCCGCGGAACCTTCGCGTAACACCTGGTTACGGGGCCTTGTGTCGAGCCTATATATAGCCTCGTGTTGAACCCAGGTGGACATTCAATTCAATTCAATTCAATTTGAATCATCTTTTCTGAGCTCGATCCCAGATCCTCACAGAGGGGCAGCCCGCTGCCGCCCCTCGACACAGGGGACGCAGGTAGGGCTAGGCCCTGGAGGAAGGGGAGGGAGGGACCGGGGAAGACCAGAGACAAGGACACGGGAGGCCATGCCTTGGAGGCGAAGCAGGGAGGGGTGACCAAGGCGGTGGTGCCAGAGGAGAGTCTCGTGAGACAGGAGGCGACACGAGCAGGGGGCAGACTCAGGACCAGACCTGGACGCTGCAGCAAATACCTGACCCAACGCAGCTACCTGACGAGACGCAGTGACTGGAGGAGACCCAGTGGTCAGTGTGTACAGGCTTGACCCCGGCCGACGTGTAAACGTGGCCAGGTGTCGGCCTGTCCGAGCGTCTGTGCAGTGGGTCACCCGCTGACTCGCAGGAGTGAACTGGTGAACCCCCGCATCCTGTAGGTCAGCACCACTCACCAAGTTCGTAGAGAACGAGGGGAGGTAAAGACCAGATAGGGTGCCAGAGGGGGCCGCTGGGCACGGGAGGATAGTGGAGAAGTGAGCAAGGACAGGACCCCCAGAGGGGTCTGCCAGAGAGACTGCAACTGGCCGGCCAAGCGGCGTGAGTGTGGTGCTGTCTCGAAAGAAGGAGCGAGAAACCCCCGAGTCAAGGGTGAAGGTGTGGGAGGCCGAAGGCGACACAGTACCTAAGAGAGCAGACTCACCAGCACCTAAGGGAGCAGACGCACAAGCACCTAGAGCAGCAGCCTCGCTAGCACCTCGAGTAGCAGCCTCACCAGTACCTAGAGCAGTAGTCTCAATGTTCGGGTCGGGCGGAAAACATCGGTAACAGTCACCCTCCTCACTAATAGTCACAGCATACATGGCAGCAAGAATAGCATCAAAGTTAAGGTCAAAGATAGCTACTTACGCCCTAGATAGCTCGCCCGAGCGAGGGATCTCAGTGGCCTCCGGGAACTGGTGACGCCAAGCGTCCGTCAGGTGGCCAAAGCAGCTCTGGGTGGGGTGCGCACCCCCGCACTGCTCACCCGCGCGGTCGCCGGTGCGTAGGACGTAGGTGCACGGACCTGTACTCCCACCCCGCTGGAGCGCAGCGTACCAATCACGGAGCTGCTAAGGGGGGGGGATGTCACGAGTGCGCTGCTGCTGCTGCTGCTGCTGCTGCTGCTGGCGCTGACCACCATCGGAGCCGACCCTCTGCGCAGCCCCACCCCGACGAGCTCCACCTCCTCCGCCGTCGCCTCCTCCACTGACGCCACCTCCTCCACCTCCGCTCCCACCGCCACCGCCGCCGCCGCCTCCGCCTCCACTGCCGCCACCGACACCTCCACCCCCGCCACCACCCCCACCGCCACCCCCACCCCCTCCGCCGCCTCCACCGCCGCCTCCACCGCCCCCGCAAGCTCGTCCAGCGCCCTTGGCCCCCTTGCCCTTGCCAGAGCGGCGTCTCCCGCTAGGGGTAGACGCCGCACCGACCGACTCAAGACCAACGAGGTTGGCCGCAGCAGCAGAGGCAACAGAGGGCAAAAGGGGGGAGGGGGAGCACCCCTCAAAGATGGGGGTGCGAGGGTCACCACGAGAGGCTCCTATAGCGACTATGCTCTTCTCTACTGCTAGGAGGGCCTTCTCGAGGAGGTCAACGGTGAGAGTGGTGGGGCAAACTGAGAGAAAGTGGTCCGTGACTACGCGAAGGGAGTCAGGGAGCCGGGTGACTATGTAGTAGAGGGTAATGTACATGGGGTGGTGGTTCTTGGCGCAGAACTCAGCAGGAAGCGCAGCGCGGTAGCGAGTGTCATCAGTGCGGAGGTGCGTAATGAGGTCAGCGACTGTGGGAAAGGCAGCAAGGTCAGGGAAGAGGTACGGTAGCATGAGGCGCCTCAGTGCAGCAGTGGCAGGGGAGGAGTAGCGTGCAACTACAACGTCGTACAGGGTCTGAGCACTCTTGTACTAGCTAAAGTGCGCACGCTCAGAGGTAGGCAGGTGGCGATGCACAGCAAGACGTGCAGCAGCATCGCGTGTGGCCCACTGTGAGCGAACAGTGGCGTCGGCATCAGCAGCAGGGGCAGGAGAGGCACGAGAGGTGAGGTCAAAGAGGGACTGACCGTCTGCCCTATCGCACTGTAGGAAAAGCTGCAGGTCATCTACCCAGACGTCAAAGTCAATGGCCCGACCCTCAGCGTCAAAAGCGAGGACACTAGGGGTAGCCATGACAGCAGTAGACCAGCAGTGCGAACAGTAGGGTAAGGGCAGTGCAGTGACAGAGGCGCTGCTCTTACCGGACAGGGCGGCTCGGGCGGCTCGGCGGCTCGGCAACTCGGCGGCTCGGGTGGCTCGGCTTTACGGCGGGTCGGCAGCAACTGCGGCTCGGCGACTCGGCGGCTCGGGCGGCTCGGGCGGCTCGGCGGTACGGCGGCTCGGTAGCTCGGCGGCTCGGGCGGTACGGCGGCTCGGCAGCAGCTGCAGATCGGCGGCTCGGGCGGCTCAGGTGGCGCGGCGGCTCGCCAACCCAAATATGGTTGTACCTCATATGGGCTACCCCACTACAGCCTACACAACATGCGAAATTTGAGTTAGACAGTAATGGTTTAATGTTGGGTACTGTTGGCCGGAACAGTCGTGTACGAGGTAAGCAAGGGCAGGAAGTAAGGAAAGTAATTTCCCTTACAAGAGGAACGAGGGATAGATTAGATATGGAAGAGTAAGAAATACAAGCAAGAAAAAAAGTGCATCGCCAACAATTTTAACAGTTTAACGACACTAGTTCATGGTGTAGGTAGTTTATAGATTTAGTAGATATAACACACCCCTAAACTGCCTGCAGCAAGAACCATGTGCTGGAAACACCCCCTGAAGGGGCACAAGAGGCGCAACGGAAGATGCAGCAGCAGTCAGATGCAGCGGTGCCACATGCAGCTGTGGCAGCTGGAACGGCGTAAGGAGCTCAGCAGTGGTAGGTGCGTCGGCAGCAGGTGCTGGGGACACGTACAGGAGCGCAGCTGCAGCGGCGGCAAGTGCAGGAACGACAGTTGCTCAGCAGCGGGGGATACGAGGAAAGAGTGAGACGGTGAGAGGAGGAGAAGAGGCGATGAGGAGGGAAGAGGGGCTTGCCCGTCGTCCATCACGACCCCCACCCCAACGACCTCCCCCCCACGAGGGAGGGGTTAGGAGGGGAGGGGAGGGGAGGAGGGACCGCGACGGGGCATGACAGGTAGGGCGCGCGCAACGAGCAGGGCGCTGGGCGGAGCACGAGCACCCAATGGGGTACCATGAGAGATAGCGGCTATAGCAACTTAGAAATGCTATAGGATGAACATGGTCCACGATGAATATGATTTGAAACCATGTCAAAATAGCACTAGTAGGTTTAAGAGGTTCGGTAAGAGGGTCCGATTAGAATGGGAAGAGCAAGTGCAAGCCATGTAAAGGTGCACCACTAACAGTTGTAACAGTAATAACCACACTAGTTTATAATGTTGGCAGTTGATCGATATACGGTAATCTATTTGACATGGCCTTTTTTTTTTTTGTTAAATGAGTCAAGTGTTACGTGTCACGTGAGAACAAGGCACGCATGCAAAAGGTCACCTCCTACACACCCACTGATATCACAATGATATCGTTTTTCCATCATTTTTTCCCTTGCCAGTAGCAACATTGCTATGCAGCACCCATGCACAGCCCAGGAACACCGGTAGCAGCACTGGCTGTCCCAGAAGTCGAAGCGGAAAGGGTGGATGCAGAGGCAGCTGCTGCAGAAGGAACAGGAGCAAAGCTAGGAGTTACCGTGCGAGTCGATGGATGGGAGGGGTGAGGTGTGATGCGTGAGTGCATGCCACTCCTGGGGGAAGTTACTCCTGTCCTTCCTGCAGCTGCTGCTGCTGTTTTCTTTGTTGCATTATAGGATGTGGCAGGTGCTGGTGTAGCTGCTGCGTTTGTTGCTGATGCACAACGGGAGTACTCCACACTTGTTCCGTCGCTGGAGAGGAGATGGAATGGAAGTTGCGGGGTTGGGTAGGGGTGCGGGAAAGGGGATGGGGGGACAATAAGTTAAACGTAGAATGAAATGTGACGCAAATAACAGGTGTGTGCCGCACTTGGACCAGAATACAGAAGCAGAAAGATGTATTGAGGAGTGAGAATCGATAGGCAGAGAGAGAAAGAGAAGGAGGTAGTAAAACTGATGGCTGCTGCGAACACAAATTCGATTGCCTCGACTGTTTGCTGAAATACAGCTCTTACATGAAATCGACGTCTTGCTTGCTTGCAAGGATACATGCATCTGAGAGCAACTGTTGCTCTTTGCAAGATGAGACAATATTTTAGGCGCCTCAATTTTCTTTCTCAGGCGTCTTAGAAATATTTTTTTCAGCTAGCTTGCAAGGGTACGTACTTCTGATAGCCGCAGTTCCAGGAGAGATGAGACTCAGCAGCAGACGAAACGCTGCACGCAGGTTGTACCGGAATCCTGTTGTTCTCCTTATAAGCACATTCGTTACCGTCATCGTCCACCACTATGACTCTGCCTAGCCCGGGCCCCAGGCGCTTGCTCCCTGCGGCTCTGCTAGCCCTCATTCCCTGTGGGCGAGTTGGGTCCGCCACACCAGTGGCAAGGAAGGGAGTCGGGTAGGGGGAGTGGGGACGAGAGGGAGGAGAGGGGAGAGGCGCGGAAGAGAGGGGGGAGACGGGAGAGAGGCGGAAGAGAGGGGGAAGAGAGGGGGGAGAGAGCGGGGAGAGAGTGGGTGAGAGGGGTGAGAGGGGTGAGAGAGAGGGGAAGAAAGGTAAGGGAAAGAGAGGGTTTAGTCAGACCGGAAGGAGACGGGACATGGGATGGAGTTAGACAAACAGGACTAAACTTCTGCGGCAAAAAAATGTCACGAGTCAGGGCTATAGAGGCGGTGCAAAAGGGAGCAGCACGGTGCAGAGAGGTGCAGCAAGGTGTAATACGGTGGCACTACTAACCGGGCACGAGCGGGAGTGCGCGTTGAGGTGGCGGCTGAGGCACTTGCTGCTGCAGTACACGGCTTGACGACACCTCAAGCACCGCGGCGGGTTGCTCTCCGCGACTCGCTTCTTGCACGACGCGCACGCCTGCCGCTGCTGCTGCCGCTGCCGCTGCTGCTGCGGTTGCGAGTTGCGTTTTAAGATGCACCCGGCGGGTAAGCCGCAGAAGTAAGCGGAGACGCCGCTTAGGGTGGCGGCTTGGGGACTCCCGGGGGGGCTTATGCTCCATTCCTCTCCGTCTTGCTGCGCCGCCTGCACCGTTTGCGCCTCCTGCTGCTGCTGCTGCTGCTGCTGTTTTACATCCTGCTGTAGACCCGGTTGCGCTGTCTGCTGCCTAGTATGCAACTGCATCTGCACCCCATGCCCATGCGCATTCACATCCCCGTGCCCATGCGAACGCGGAAACGTCTGCACTTTCCACAGCGCTGGATGCACCTCACACAGACAGCCCGGACTGGCAGCTCCGGCCCATTCCTCCGTGTCCGCTTTGGAGTGGCTCGCAGACGCCGAGGCGGCGGCCACCGCGGGTAAGCCACCAGTTATACGCCCAGAAACGTTTCGAGGGCTAGTAGCCGCAAGGGCGACGCGACAAGAGTGCGTTCTTAAAGCCACTGGGCTTACCGGGTCAGCCGATACTGTTGCTGCTGCTGCTGATGCGGCTGTGGCGGCTGCTGCGGCTGCCGGGCCTGCTGATGCCCCTGCCGAAGCGCCTCCCAGTAGAACAGAGGAATGCGCATCGGTGCTAGCAACCATTATGCTACTACTGCTACTGTCTCGGGGTCCGCCGTTTCCGCCGTTTCCGCGGGTTCCGCCGTCTTCGCAGCTTTCTCCGCTTTCCCTCCCTTCCTCCCGGGACAGACCCTCTGCGCCTTCACTCTCCGCCAAGTCCTCCTCTTCCTCCTCCACTATGGTCCGCGCAATACTCCCCACAAGCCCGAAAGGACATCTCCCCCCGTCTGCGCCTCCGCCTCCGCGGGGAGGTTTCCGCGCAGCGTTCCCGCTTGCGTTTCCGCATGCGCCGACGCCTTCCTTTTTGTGCGGGGCCCGCCGTTTGGGGGACACGCCGCCCATTCCCGGCAACAGCGCCTCGAGATTCTGATGCGCGGACGCTCCCGCCTTCCCGCCTCCGCTCGACGAATCGCCGTCGGCGCGGCGCGGTCGTGGGGAGGACGACGCGGAGGATGCGGAGAGGTCACACCTGTCGCGGTCGTCACTTGCTGACGCCATCAAGCTGACGTCACTCCCTCCCTCCTCGCTCCTGCTCAGGGGTATGCTGTCGTCGCGACCGGAAGGAGGAGCCATGGCGAATGGCGCTACGGCGGAGGAGCAAGACGATGAGAAAGAGCCGTTGGCGTCGCACGACTCCTGTGTGTCGTCCGAAAGGGTTTCGGGAAGACTGCTCGCGATGCTGCTGCTGGTGCTGTGACAGCGCGCGAAAACAGCGCCGTGATTTCCGTATCCATTGTTGTTGTAGCCGTTGCGGTATCTGTTTGGAGCGCTGCTGTTGTTGTTGGCGTTATTGCTGCTGCTGCTGTTGTCGCCGCCGTGTCCGTTGTTGCTGCCGCTGCTGCCGCCATAGACGGTCGTGCGGCTCGTCATGATGACAACACGTACTGAACTAGTTTATGCAAAGGGAAGCCCGACCAGGACGCGTGCAAACCGTTCGAGGGTGAGCGGCGGTAATCGCGGGAAATCAGACTATTCAGCTACGAGTGCAATAGTGATGGCGCTAGGGTGAATGCTGGTGTTAGTGCTAGTCCTGGTTGTACTAGTGCTAGTGCTACTGCTAATCCTAGAGTATGCGCTGGTTCTAGCGTTAGGTGGTTCAATTGAAGTTCAGATGCATGGTTTGCAATAGGAATACTAAGACAATCTTCTCTGGGTTCTAGAAAAAACACTTTCTGAATTAGCTAGGCTTTCTTGATTGCAGGTCGTGATAAATGAACACAATCCGCCGCTACTGAGAGCCAAGCCAAAGCATAGCTTCTCGTGCTCGGTCCCGGGCGAAACGCTGTCTTCCCTGCTCCCTCACTTTTCACATAAGCAACGGCTTTTGCTGATGACGAATAAAGGTAAGGATGGCTGCTTGGAAAGGCAGGTTGGTGGGGGTTGGAGGCAAAGGTCTTTCGTGACTGTGGTTGTTGCGGACGGCATTTTTCAAATCAAACAGCCCACATCGCAGCCACATACGGCGTCAGAGTCAAGCATATTAGCCGTCAGATTGAATCGCGACTTGCAGTGGCTGTGCATCGCGCATTCCATCAATATGTCGGACCGCGTTTCACCCAAACCCTCTCCGCAGCCATGCCTGCGCAAGCCACGCATTGGCGGTTCCAGTGAGTGAGGGTGCCCAATCCGACCGTTCCGCAATTTTGAATTTGGTCACGCTCGGTGACCTGCTCGACTCTACCCGCGTGTATCTCCTTCCACCCGTGTCCCGTTGAGGCTACAAATTCCTCAGGTTTACAAATCTGTGAGATTGAAGATATGCTGTGTGTTTTGTACAGTTCGGGGACTTCGAAGGTACTGTATTCAACTGCACCACAAAGTGTTTGGTGGCTGAGGTGCCGCTATTTCCGGAAGTACCTCCACTTGTTCTACCCAGTCCTAGTGAGAGCTATCGCTGTTATTGAACTGGTGGGTGGAACAAATTTGCACAATAAACATTTGATGGCAGCTCCACACCGAAAACTTCGCTGCCTTCCCAGCCCACCTTTCATACCCGTTATCAGCACTTGAAAGGCGTTGACACATGGCAGCCAACTGGAGTCCCTACCAGTAGCCCAGCATGGTGAACTTTGTAAAACATAAACGCCTGGTAAAGATCATATCTTCACAGCGCACAGTATTCATAACATGGATGTTCGGCATCAGTTTTTTTAGTTATAATGTGTGAGATAATTCTCTTTGAGATAATACTCTTGAGACAACAATGGAATCTTGGGATCTGGACTTTTTTTCTCTCATGTGGTCTGTCTCTGTACATTGTTGTTGTAAAAATGTAGCATCTTAACGCAATTTGAAGGGATTCTCTCAGACAACCACTTGATATCTTTTGGTGATGTTTGCGGTGTTATCTACCAGGTCTTATCCACTTGCTTAGGTGACACAACAGGTAGGTAGTTCTGGCGGACCTTCAACGGTCGCTTTTTTCCGAGAAACCATGGAGCGGCTCTTTTCTAGGAGCCCTCTGAACAAGCCTCACGACAAAAGATCCGCGAAGCTCGTTACCGTCAAGCGAATCGCCAGATACGTGCTCCTCGCGTCGCTCGCACTCTTCGCCGGCTTGACCGTCGCACGCTTTGCGTCGCCTAGATTGCTACAATTCGCACGGAATGCGAAGGCGAATGATGTGTCGTACGAAACGGATGCGGAGCAGAAAGGCGAACAAGGAAATGAAACCCGCGGCCGAATCGCGTTCATGTTCTTGACACGTGGCCCGCTACCACTCGCTCCTCTGTGGGAGAGATTCTTCAGAGTGAGTCGTTGAAAGAGAAAAAGGTGTTGTGAGTTGTTCTTAATGGCATGTACCGCGAGCTCCTGGATATCTTCCGCAATCAATGGCGGTCCTCTGTCATCCCTTCTCAATCCCTCACATTCGTAGGTGGTGTTGTACCGCTCCAACACCTCCCCCCCCTCCCCCGGTGACCCCCCCCCTCTTCCCCCTCTCTCTCCCCCAACCCCCCTTTTCCCCCTTCCCTCAACCCCGCCCCACTTCGTCCCCCTCTTCCCGCGCCCCCCTCCCCTCTCCCTTCCCCTCGCTCCACCCCACCTCCCCCCCCCTCAGTGCGTGTCCCGGCCAGACAGGCACAGGTGTCCCGTGTCTGTCTCCGTGCCCTTATGCTTGTCCCCGTCCCCCCCCATCCCAGTGCTGCCGTGCGTGCGCCGTGCATCCCAAGGGCCACTGTCATACAAAGAATGAGGTGCCTAGGGGAAAACCGTGGCGAGGCACTAGAAGGAGGAGGAAACCACGTGGCTTGCTTGCCTTCCCCCTTGCACCGCACCCACCGCACCGCTCCCACTGCACTGCACCCACCGCACCCACCCACCGCACGCACCAACCCCACGCAACAACGCACTGAGAGGGCCGAATATATCCGAGGCGCCTGAGGCTCCTCCCGCCCTAAACTGCGACGAGTTTTGAGTCGGCTGAAACCTCGTCTACCAGGGTGGTGCAGTGGAGAATCGCAAGACACGGCGCTGCTGCTGCTGACGATTGTGACTTAGGGGCTTATGCCTTTGAGACGGCCCATCTGGTCTTACGACTTTTGAGACTTTGAGACGTCTCGAAGGTTGTGACTCAGCGGCTTCCGCCGAGCTGAGCCCATCTCGTCTTACCTTTTGCCACGTCTCTCGCCATACATGCGCACACACACATGTATACATGAATGAATGCATGCATGCATATGCATGCACGAATGCTTGAATGCACACATGCACGCATGCATGCAGGGAGCACGCGGGCGCTTCAGTATCTACATCCATGCTTCCAATGCTTCGCTCGCCCCTAAGAACTCTCCAAAGTGATACAAGTGTAATGTGGTGCCTCTCACTCACTCCCGTGCCTGAATGCGTGCTTGCAGGGAGCACGCGGGCACTTCAGCATCTACATCCATGCTTCCAATGCTTCGCTCACCCCCTCTCCCTCCGCGCTTCCTCGCCTCTTCAGGCACAGATTCATCCCTGCGTCCCCTGTAAGCCTTGCTATCCAGGTGAGTTTCGAGTCTAATGAGAAGTTGTTGCTTGCATTGCTTGCATCTTTCAGGCACAGGTTGATTCCCGCATATCCTGTGCCTGCCAGGTGCAGGACATTGCTTGCATATTCTCAATCAATATCCTCTCACACCATTCACCATGCGCACCTCCATGCAATGCCTGCCACCCTTCTATCTACCTCCCCTGTCACCACCCCCTTTTTATTCTGCTCCCTGCAGGTGGTGTGGGGAGACATGTCCATGGTGACAGCAGAGCGCAGGCTGCTGCTGCTGCTGCTGCTGCTGCTGCTGGCATACTCCCTTGTAATCCATTGTTAGTTCCCGCGCCTGCACCTGATGCTCCCTGCATGGCAGGTGGTGTGGGGAGACATGTCCACGGTGACAGCAGAGCGCAGGCTGCTGGCGTACCCACTCACAACGTCCATGTCGTCCATGTCGTCCATGTCTCCCTACCTCTCCCCACTGTCGCGCCCAACGCTCACTGCTCTGCAGGTGGTGTGGGGAGACATGTCCATGGTGATAGCAGAGCGCAGGCTGCTGGCATACGCGCTCACAGACCCCCGCAACCACTACTTCGCCCTCGTTTCAGAAATGTAGTCGCTTTCTCTATTCACTCTCTTGACTCACTCACTCACTCGCTCACTCACTTGACTCACTCACACAATCACTGATCTCACTCACTCACTCACTCGTTTGACTCACTCACTCACTCGTTTGACTCACTCACTCACTCACTTGACTCACTCACACAATCACTGATCTCACTCACTCACCTCAACCACCTAAACCACCACACATTCGCTTCAGCCTGCCTTGCCTTTTCCACTGTGCCCTGTGCCCCGTGCCCTGTGCCCCGTGCCCTGTGCCCCGTGCCCTGTGCCCCGTGCCCTGTGCCCCGTGCCCTGTGCCCCGTGCCCTGTGCCCCGTGCCCTGTGCCCCGTGCCCTGTGCCCCGTGCCCTGTGCCCCGTGCCCTGTGCCCCGTGCCCTGTGCCCCGTGCCCTGTGCCCCGTGCCCTGTGCCCCGTGCCCTGTGCCCCGTGCCCTGTGCCCCGTGCCCTGTGCCCCGTGCCCTGTGCCCCGTGCCCTGTGCCCCGTGCCCTGTGCCCCGTGCCCTGTGCCCCGTGCCCTGTGCCCCGTGCCCTGTGCCCCGTGCCCTGTGCCCTGTGCCCTGTGCCCCGTGCCCTGTGCCCCGTGCCCTGTGCCCCGTGCCCTGTGCCCCGTGCCCTGTGCCCCGTGCCCTGTGCCCCGTGCCCTGTGCCCCGTGCCCTTTGCTCCGTGCTGTGTGTCTGGCAGGTGCATTCCCCTGTGGCCATTCGACTACATCCATGCCTACATCTCAACAGCCCAAGTCAGCCTAGTTGAGGCGTGAGTGCCTCATCTGGATTTTCCTGCTGTTTCCCTCCTAACCGAACCGACCTCTTCTCTCCCACCCATGTCCCTGCACCTACACCACTCTACTCATTCCCAGTTCTGACACCAGTCCTCCTCACACCTTGTTTTGACGTCTCAAAG